CACCTATCTGGACTACCAGACCACTCTGGGCCGTCTGGTAGTCTGATTATTGCCTTGGTTCTTTTATAACCATATTGTCTCAGATGAAATGCACTGTGCACAGTGTTTTTTCCAACCCATTTCTCAGATTTGTGCACCATTTGCATTTGAGGATTTGCTTCCAAATTCAGGATCTCAGGCAAAGGCCTCTCCCAAACACACCAGCCTTGTGTTTGAGGCATCTCCTTATTTTTCATTGTTTCTGCTGTTGTCACGATTTTTTTTTAAAAAAATAATAATAAGGAAAAGTTCCCCTCAGATTTATTACTGTTTATCATCTTGGCTTTAATGTAGGCTTTCATAAACTTCTCAAAGTCCAGAATCAATTTGGGTGCTGGGAGGGACACAAGTCGGCCAAGAGAGGGAGCCGTTTTCTCTTTGGGAGGTCTCCAAAACAACGCAAGGTGGTGACTCTGCACTGAGACCATTTGGCTATTCACTCCCCCTGACAGAGGATGGCACTGCTGTGGACTGAACTTAGTCACTAGTTAGCAGGGTTGGGTAGGTTTTTTACTGGCAGGCAATGGTCGCTGTTTGTTTGGGTGTTTTTGCCTCCCTGATGGCAATGTCGCTGTCCAGGTACTTCATGCATCTTTTAAAACTCACAGCATTTTGCACAAGGTGTTGCGGCAATGGGCTGGATCCTTTTCCGGGGAAGCCTCTCAAAGCAGGAGCGGGTCCCCATAAGTGACCGACTCTAGGACTGAGGTCTCTGGGCTCAGCTCAGGGACAGATTGGAGCCTGACTCATTCAGAGATGGTGGGACGGATCTATGCAGGGAGCCCCACTGTGGTGGGAAACTGACACCCCTACTCAACAGATTCTCCTGAGAGTCAGCCTGGGAAGGGCATTAATTAGCAGGCACACTGACTGATGATCACATCCACAGAACCAAGTTCTACCTAGGCCATGACTTGTAACGTTGTAGCCAAATGCCATTCCCACCCAAGGAATTCCTGGCTCTTTGTTACTTCTTCTCTTCTTCCACAGCTGCCAAAGGCGCAAGAGGCAAGAACGCTGTGATCATTTCTGGCAGAGCTTTGTATGCCTGGACTGGCTGGACTGGCAATTGATGGGACAGAGTTTTCCACAACACCTGAAGCAGCAGGCTACATTTTTTTTAAAAAAAGAATTTTATAACAAGCCATGTGCTCTCCAAACAAGCAGAACATCTGGAGAGCTCAGGATGAAGAACTACCATCATCTCCTACCATCTCCTGTTCACAGAACTTCCTCACACTGCCAAACGGTAGAGCCAGCCCTGTGCTGAGGGAATGTTGTGACCTGACATGCCATCCTTCTGACTTAGTTTACACCATGAACTCACAGACAGAAAGTTGGGTGCTCAATGATCTTGACCCCAGATTCTGTTCTAGGGATCCCAAACTATGCTAAGGGGCACAGAATAGCACAGGATGGCATGAAGGGTTTCCCCTTTAAGGCTGGTGCCTATTTAAAGTCTTTAAACTTCCATGTTAAGTGCTTTTGACTGGGACCATGGCATAGCAAGAAAGGAAGGGGGTCCAATCTCTCCCCTGCACTGAATCCCCCCACCAATTTAAATCTTCCCTACAAATCACAGAGGGAAAAATGGTTTCTCTAGACAGAGGAGTCAGTCCCTAAATAAGCCCAATTCCCCTTCATCTATTCAGACAGAAATGAACTTGTAAACTATGCCTCCAATCTCCACAACCAAATGCACACTACTAGTTCCCGTATGCTCAAAGCAAAAAAGCAAAGCATGCTGCTTATATACCGCCCCATAGCGCTTCAAGCACTCTCTGGACAGTTTACAAGTTTATTATGCAGGCTTCACATTGTCCCCCCCCCCCAGCAAGCTGGGTACTCATTTTACCAACCTTGGAAGGATAGAAGGCTGAGTCAACCTTGAGCCGGCTACCTGAGATTGAACCCCAGGTCATGAGCAGTTTTGGTTGCAGTACAACGGTTTAACCACTGTGCTACGGGGCTCAGTTCCTACTCTGAAAAAATAAGGCAAACAAACTATCTTCATGGATGCCTATGTACAGTATTTATACAGGATACTTCAATGTGCATCATACTGCATTTGAGTGAAAAGGCAAGAAGACCTTGATTTCCTTCTCAAAAAGGGATTTGAATGATTTTTTTTTGGCAGAGCAGGACTTATTGATACATTATTGCAGTAGATTTTTTGAGATAGGAGATCTAGCAGCTTCTGAGCTGTAGAAAACATGGCATTGCTAGATCCACTTTTGTAGCATACAGCATAGCAGACTCACTGCAACTTTAAAAAGTGAAAATTTCTCTCCTTTGTGGTATACCTGTAACATTTAAGTTACCTCTGTAATCAGAGAATTGTTGCCAAACTAAGTGGTACAGGAGGAACATCACATGGTTTTTCAAGGCTGGGCTTGTCCTGCGCCTCATGATGCTAAAATGAAATATCCAGATGTGTGTGTTTTCAAAATGATAAATAAACATAACAAGTTTAGTTTTCTTGAGAAACATTAAAATGCTTTTTAAATATAGCATTTATAATGGCAACAGTTGCATCATCTGGCAGTTGGAACAGTAACTGATTTCATTCAATAATATCTTTCTGAGCACTGAGTGACAATTTGAAATGTTAAGTGGAATGTTTAAAGGTCTTTTAAAAAGTATAGACATACTGCTGTGCAGATTTCAGATGTCCACTTTGGCAAATAATTAGCACACGATTGAACATTTTGGAATTTTTCGCTCTAATGTTTGTTTTAAATACACAATGCATTTGATATATTATACAACAACAACAATAACAAGTATATATTAGAAGAAATGGACAGTATTCCCATCAACATTTATGCCACATATTAGCCTTTAAGGTGCCTCAGGACTCTGCTGTTTTTGTGCAGTACACAAGCACTGCTAATCCCCTAAAAAATTCATGAAAAAGTATATATCTGATGAAAAGGGCTACAGTTCTCTAAAGCATTATGCTAAATATAACATGCTAGTCCTTAAAGTACTACAAGATTCTTTGCAGGTTTCGCAGGAGATGAGTAACATTGCTAATATATTTTACAATAGAAATGTATAGTGCAGTAAGCAACGCAAAACAGCATCAGACAATATGAAAGATAGATGATTCACAATGCAAGCACTCCCTCAATGTTCAACCATTTCTGTATTAAGTTTCATTTTAGATCTAACAAAACGACACAGAAGCAAGTAGTCAGACTCAGTCACCCTAAGTAGAATCAGGCAGACATGGAAAAGCTGAGATCCCCGTAAGTAAACAAACAGAAGATTTATTAAGGGCTTCTGAATGAGAAAGTAAAGAGATAATTAAATCTAGAAGGATTATAAACAGTGTGGTAATGTCCTCTAAGACATCACTTGGCCTTCTCAGCAGCAGCAGTTTATGTTTATAAGAACATAAATAACAAAGACTAGATTTTGAAGTGTGTGGCTTGCATTCGTCTATTCCTGTAAGAATCCCCTTTCTGACAACTTCTCCTCAGTCTGCAAGTCCTCACACGATACTCTATTATACCATTCCCAAGGATCCACCAACCCCTGGAAGCAGATGGAGGGGATGCAGGGGGTTACAGAGGAAAGAGAAAACTTTTTTGATGAAAGGGAAGTGAGGTTCCCAGCCTGTGTAGTTTCCAGGCCTAATAACTATATTTATGCAGATCCACTGGAAACACACAGCTAGCCTAGAGCTGTTAATCTCATTCAGCTGAATGAACTGGTTTAAATTTTAGGGCTCTAGTTGGTATATTTTAGAAGCTGGGTTAGCTAACAGCTCAAAAATCGGATTGTAGGATGATTTGATTTGTTTTGTTCTTGTTGTATCAGGTTTTAAGCTGTGAGAATGCCATGAAAATGGGGTCTGATCAACTCCCATAAAATAACATTAATTAAAGATATCATGCATTTGTTATCAAAGGCAGCAGTTAGTTCTAGCAAAACTCTCCCACAGATGGAAAGGGTGCTTCTCTTCAGGAGGAAACCAACGCTGAAGGGGAAAGGTGGTGATCTTCTCTGAGTTTCCACTCACCCTGTAGCTCCCACATCCTCCAAAAACCTTTTCTAGAAGGTTTGGGGGCACTGGGGATTTCTAGGGAACTAGCCAGCAGGAATGTTCTGAGCCGGATGCTTCCACTTTAGCAGAGTAAAAACTTGATGTAACCCACTGGCTAAATAACTCTTTAGTCTGAACATTCACACAAAACTTCTAAGATGTGTCAATATGCTCTTGCTTTAAATATACAGGGAGAAAAGAGGGTACATTATCAATTCAGTAACTATGGGGTGACTTCATGGGTTTTTGTCCCACTGTTTGGTCCACTGTGGCCACAAGTGAGCTCACTCCTTTTGCCAGCAACCAGATGATGCAACTGCCAGCATGAACCAGCCTGTCCCCAGAACATTCTTACCTGACACTGACATGATTACCATTAGTCAGGGGGTACTGTTTTTTAAGTCTGGGTAGGATCATTCCATGTTGGTTTGCTTCTAGTATGTGTGATCACTGGGTGGAACCAAAGCAGAGTTCGCTCATTTAAATTTCTCTTCATCTTTTAATTTTCCAATATCATTAAATGGGCTAAGAAGACAGTTACTAGGAAATCAAAACATCCACTGCTCCTTCATAGAGGAGCAGAGGAAGAAAGCAAAAGCTTCTTCTTCTTTTTAAATCCTTTTAGGACAGATCTGATGCACTATACATTTTTTGGGGGGGATGAAAACTTACTGCCAGAACGAAAAGGAGTGAGGAGATTTTTTTTTCGTTTTCTGAAGCGTGGTGAGGCAAATCGGGTTACTTGAGGTTCCTATGCCATGGAGATGCAAGGATCACATCAAATGGCATAAGAGACCTCTGCACAACCTCAAGCAACCCTATTTAGCCTGATTCAGCCAGGTCTAACTGAACTGTGTAGCCAAGTATTATATTTACCATGATTACCATTAGTCTGTTCTGAGTACCTCATGGTTAAAAAGCAATTTTTAAAAAAATTTGATGCATCCTATAGTTTGTTTCTAAGGGGTGCCATCTTTATTCATTTATTGGTATGGTTGTGAGAAGAGGTATTTAAATAAGCAAGTATGATTGTCTACAGAACTACACATGAATGTTATCAGCATACAAGGTACAAGTACAAGGTACAAGACCATAAATATAATGTTAGATACACTTGATAGCATTGTATCTACTCTGCCCTACCCAGGGTTATGTGAGTAATAGCAGCGTTGATATAAGGAGGTCGACTCTTTTTAAAAAAATTCAAATGGTGAAGAAATCTTGATATGTATTTTTAAAATAATATTTAAGGAAAAATTAATAAATATTTTATTAAGCAGTTTTTCTACTCAGCTATAAAAACCAGAGCAAGGTCTGTTGCATTATGTAGAGCAGGAATCCTAGACACCAGGAAGTGACTCAATTAAAAGAAATTGTAACTTTCCAGTGCCTTTTTTTTAATGAACAATATGTCATCAAACAGCAGAGAACAAGAAGAAATATTACTGGGAATTGTGCCACATAAATTCAGTTCAAACAATAGGCCATGAAGCTTAAAATGAGAATAAGGAAAGTAACCAATAACAAAGTAACCAAGACAAGAGTGTTATATTCATGGATTTAATGTCTTTTCATGTATTAAAATCCAAACAGAGCTACTAGATGAGGTTGATATACGGTATTAAGCAGTTATATAGTGCAACCTTCTGTGGAAAACCCTTAAGGGGTTTCCAGACCAGTGGAAGCATTCAGACCAGTGTTGTTTTAGTTTTAACTATGAAATTTGAATGAAAGTGTATTGTTCATTTCCCGTTTCTTCACACACCTACTGTACACCATGATCTAAGTCCAATGAGTAGACCCACTGAATCAATGGAGTTTATCTAGGAATTTACATTTACAAAGTCTCACACCACTACGTCTTCAGTGATCTGTTCTGTGTGAGTATACTTTGGGGGTAACCCCCCCAAAAAAGCTGGCATCTAATTCTTGAATTCGTTTTTTTTTAAAGGGGCCAAAACAAAAGAGCTATTATGCAATACAAGTAGCCCTGCCAATTCTCTTGGTCGTTGACAAAGAAGCGTGTAAAAAGCAACAAAAAAGAAGGAATGGAAGCAAGAAAACTTTTTGAAACGTTGCAGTTTTCATGTGCGTGAAATAGCCTGATGACAAAAACATCATCATCATCATCATCATCATCATCATCATCATCAACAACAACAACAACAACAACAACAACGACGACGACGACGACGACGACGACGACGAGAAGGTTTTCTAGAAAATTAAGCCAGGGAACAGCTCCTGACTTGAACTCGACTCTGCCTACAGCCTGATCTGGAAGCCTGATCCAGCTCGGGGGGGGAAGACGACCGAGGACAAGAGCCACCCCGTTCGTCACGCACGGATATTCAGAGTCGTCCGTCGCAGGCTGGGCTCGTCCCTTCCTCCCGCAAGAATTTTATCCTAATCCCCCACACCTCGGGCCCCTGGGAGGCTGGGGGAAAAAAAAACACAGCCCTTTGTTCTGCTGAAAGAAGCACCTCAGCCACCTCTTTCCTCGCCCCCCTCCCGCCACCCGCCAGGTCCGAGTTAATTGATACCGAGAGTCCATAGTCCCAGCAAAAGGCCACCCTCCCCTCTTTCATGGCGGCGGCGGCGGCGAGAGGGCCAACTCAGGGCAGAAAGTTGCCGGCGAGCACCGAAGCCCGCCAAGGTCTCGCTTACCTTGTGCCGGAACTCCCGGGCCACTTTGCGCTCCATGGCAATCAAGGGAGAGCGACCTTCTCTCGCCGGGGAAGCTTCTCTCGGGACGCGCTCCAGGCGCGGATGCTGGTTTCCACCTTGGTCTCCCGGGCTGCGCACCGGTTGGAACGCAGGCCTCGGAAGCGACGCTAGAGGGCGCGGCGCAGCCTCGGCGCCGGAGGACGGCAAAGCGGTTGTCACCGGCGGGAGGGGGCGGCGGAGGGGGGGACAGGCGGACAAGCCTGGCGGAAGGGAGGAGCGTCGCTCTTTGCGTGGGCCGCTTTGACGTTACCTTGCCGAAGTCCTATATTATATATACCTGTAATATGACAGCCAATATAATATTGGTTTCCATAGGCACTCGTTCAAACGCATTCAGCAAAACTGTGCATAATCAAGCGCTTTTAATTCTCTATGATTTCCATAAGATATATTGCACAAGAGCTTAGTTCAGTTCAATTAGTCTTGACTGTACAGGTTCTCTTCCTAATAGATATACTCTTGTTTTGTAAGGGATCGAGAAACTCTTATGAGGCAAATGGGATCCTTATTCCAGTGCCGAGGGGTGAACATATGAGACCGTTTGATCCTACCCCTAGGTTTTCTTTATTTCATTAAGATTTCCTGGCTACATACAGATGGAATAAACTCATCACATTCTAAATATAAATAAATCTGTCTTTCCAGAGAAACGATCCGATGTAGAAGACACTTCTTAAGTGAATCCGGCTGAAAATAAATTAGGCATCGTCTGAGGTGGTTTCCAGCATTCCTACCCCATCCCAGGGGACCGTCTCAAGTTTCAGCTTCTGCCTGCACCCCCTCTGTACAGACCCATGAAGGAGAGATCTCCCATTCTGAATCATCATTTTAAGACACTGGCCAGAATCCTGTGGTTGATTTCAGTTTGTTTAAGAGGGGTTGCGTAAATTTTGGCAGCAAATTGGATGCATGTGCAAGAAGGCAACCTTGTAAATGAGGAGCCATTTACTCCCAAGACTTAGGCATTTTCCCTGATGTAAGTGTAAATTGCCAGTACGATGCTAGCCACTTGCTCTCAGCAATATTGTCTTGAGTTCAGTGGCCTGCATATTCTTCATGGCAATTACTGTATTTAAACAGTTGTATGGTTGCATTCTTTAAACTAAGGGATAGATAACTTCCAGAGGTCTGATGGTCTCACACATCCATGGGTAGACCTTGGAGGGTCATACTTGTTCCTGTGCACCACTCACTCCCATAATATATTTTTAAATTTAGAACAGGGTTTTCCAAATTGAGCTGGCTAGATAGCTCAGTGAGATGGAGCACCTGGCTGTGAAGCCGTGGTTCAGGAGTTCAATCCCCCTCTGTGCCTCCCAGGAGACCTCTCTCCCAGAGAGCCCCCCCCAGAAGAGGTTGCAGAATTTTGAATTTCTGATTAAATTCCTTTTAGCAATGCAGTAGAAGTACAAAGATTCACAGAGGAGAATAGCTTCAGTTTCCCAAAGATCCCACTTCTTTCTCATTACAGTCTCAGTAACTTACTCTGAAAAACCTCCAATAGAAGAAGGGAATGGTAAATCACTTCTGAATACTCTATACTTTGAACCAGCCCCCCTCCGAAGGGTTGTCTTAAACAAAAATTGACTTGACAATATGGAATAGTTACCTATTTCCAAGTTGAAATAGTCTCCTCACACCTTTGGGTTGCCAATTAAAAAGGGGGGAAAATGGAAAAACAGAGGGGCATGTGAGCAGCCAGGTGTGCCAAGGGCCCAAATGTGCCAAAACAACAACAACCCTGCAATCCCCAAGAGGGCCAAAAATGTTCAAGGTATGGGAAGAACTTTGCCCATCCTGGCTTTACCCATGTATTTGTCTCTCTTCAAATTTGCAATGCAGCCCATGAAGCATCTTTTGAATCTGTAGAGAGGCTGGCATTTGCCATCTAGGCCCCTGGCATAGAGACTGTCTCCTTGTCCTGTGTAGGACTGTCAATAGCCACACCACTAGCAGCCTGTTTGCTGCCAAATCTCATTCAAGGTGGTAGTGCATAGTGTTAACGTCCCAGGTCTGGGAGTCAAATATCTACAGGAACGCTTGTCCCTGTATCCAGCCTGTCCATATTTTAAAATCACGAGTATTCTGTTCCCCAAATACTGTATTACATGTGGCATCCAAAATGATCAAAGAGCAGAAGGAACTCCCCTAGGAGGAAAAAAAACCCCACAAGTAACGGAAGATACATAATAGAAAAGTACAAAAGTATGTATGGTAAGAAGATGGATATTACTAAATGTTGGGGGTCATACAATTACACTGAATGAAGAAACTACTCTTTCACACACAATGTAGTTGAATCGTAGCATTTGCAACTACAAGACATAATAGCAATCAGTTTGGAATAAACAAATGTGGAGTCAACAAATTCAAGGAGGATAAAGCCATCAGTCATATTAGATATACAGTATGTATGACTCCACAGTATAAGGTTGCAGTTCCAAAGGCATGCTTCAGTATAAGGGGAGCATGAACAAGAATGCCCACATGTGCTGCTTGAGTGCTTCAAGTCATCTGGTTGCACTGGGAGAAAAATGCTGATATAGATGAGCTTTGACCTGATCTAATAACTGTACAAGGGAGAGTCTTCTATGATGTGTTATCCTGATGGTTGAATATCTTTCCCATGGAGGTGTGAAGGGGTGCCGACATTGCATGCATCTTGGTACAAGCTCAAACTCTTTTTGCTTGCTCCAGCATTTTAATTGGCTCACTTGATATGTCTGCTTTTCTTATTTTGATGATGGTAACAGTAATAATACTGCAATGATCAGAAGAACAAGGATGTCAGTGTGTTGCTTTTTATTGTACCTGTAGGATAATTTTATTGCATTCTTATCCATGGCTCTGGGAATCCATAAAGAGAGAGAATGGATTTGAAATATTTAAATGAATAAGTAAAATGACTATTCACAAAAAGATATTATAGGATTAACATACCAAGCACACCAGTTGAAAAATGGTGTGGTATCCGTTTCCAGGATTCTGAAAGGCAACACAATTACAAACCACAGAGCAAACAGAGGTTTATAAGGTGGAATGTACAAATAATGAATTGATATGCCACTCAAGGTATAGTCCCTGAGTATTTAAATGCCAAAACTACCCATTTGAAGACTGGGATAAAAACAGAAAGAAACTGATATCCTTCTTAATAAGTCAAACCAATGTGGTGATAAAATGCACCTCTTTGTAATGGGAGAAACATGCCAATCTAAAACTCCACCAACTAGTATGGATTCACAGATAAAACACGACAGAGATCAAGGCACATTTCTCATAAGCTCCAAAGTCAGGGTCATACTGTTGTTATGTACAAACAAGTCATGTCTAACTTACTGAAATACTCAAAATTAATGGCCTTCCAAAGGTCCTGCCACTCACAACCCTCTTCAGGTCTTGCAGAAAAAAGGCGGTGGAATTCGCAAAGGCTTTCACGGCCAGGATCTAATGGTTGTTGTGGGTTTTTCATGCTCTTTGGCCATGTTCTGAAGGTTGTTCTTCCTAACGGTTCACCAGTCTCTGTGGCCGGCATCTTCAGAGGATAGGAGTAGCACTCTTTAGGAAGATGCTGGCCGCAGAGACTGGCAAAACGTTAGGAAGAACATGGCCAAAGAGCACGAAAAACCCACAACAACCAAAAGGCTGTGGCTTCCTTTATTTAGTCAATCCCATTCCAGTTTGATCTTGCTTATTTTTTTTACTGCCTTCAACTTTTCTTAGCATTCCTATCTTTTCCGGTAATCCTTGTCCTTTGAATGATACATCTAAAGTACAACAGCTTCAGTTTAGTCATTTTACGTTCTCTTGAGAGTTCAGGCTGGATTTGTTTGTCTTTCTCATGGCCCTTGCTATCTGTAGGCTCTTCTCCAGTGCCACATTTCAAACAAACCAACTTCAATCACTGCCCCTAATAATGTTTTTCACTGTGCATAGTAATTCACATATCATATGCCTTGGCCTCCAGCATAGCATCTTTATAGTTAAGAATATTTTCTCTTTCTTTCATAGCTGCCCTTCTCAGCCATTGTTGTCTTGTGATTTTTAGGCAGCCAGTTCATACTGAGGTGGAATAAATTACAAATCTGAAAATACAGTATACTTTCATTCGCTGCATACCCTTCTCTAGCAGAAAACCACTTTTATTTTTTCTAAGAATGAAATACTGTATAACAAAGTTGATTTTGAAAACTTGCAGTGTATTTTTTGCCAGTTTGAACTCCTAACCCCAAAATTCAGAACAGAGTTGCCAGAAGCTCCTTTCCTGTTGTAAGGTGGCATAAAATAAGGTGCGGAAATCTGATGCTGTAGCCTTAACACCCCAGGGTCTAATACTTACATATAGCCAAGCATGAATATTACAACAGAGTAAAATTACAAGAAAGATTTTTAAGTGAGACATGGTGAAGAACTTCCTGATGGTATGAGCTGTTCAACAGTAGAATGGATTACCTCAGAAAATGACAGATTATTCTTCATTGATGGGTTTTTATCAGCCACCTGGCAGGCACACTTTGGTTGTGAATCTCCTGCATCTCCTGGAATACATTCCAGTTCTGTGATTCTGTGAGTGTTTTGTTTCAGTTCTGATGATTTTGATCATTATTTAGGTCTCTTACATTTCAGGGCAAATGTCTGATTCAAAAGCAACAGCATTTATAGAAGTGTATGCGTGTGTGTGCATGTGTGTGTATCACACACAGAGAGAGACAGACAGAGATCAAATAATAACTGTCCTTGTCTATAGAGCTTACCAGCTTGATATTATGCCAGAAACTGTGACAATGGTACTGCTGTGCCTTGAAACTAATGACAGCAAAGTTAATTGTGTGAATGTGCTGCTCATATGAGAAATAATCCCAAACCCTTCCAAGCAATAAAGACAACTTCTATAGAGATAGATAGCTGTAGCCAGTGTTGCTTCTTTTTCTAACCCTTAAGAACATTAAAAAAGCTGTGCTGAATGGGACCAAAGGCCTACCTTGTTCAGTGCTCTGTTCAGGCAGGAGCAATCCACTTGTGTATGAGAGGTCTACAGTCAGGACATGAATACAACAGCATCTTCCTGCTCATGCTTCTCAGCAATGGACACACAGAAGCATATTCCCTCTGGTACTACAGGGAT